TCAGAGTTCTGCATTTTCTCCTCGTCGGAGTTCTGGAGTCTTTCCTCATCATCAGACATCTGTGGCCTTTCATCTTCATCAGAGTTCTGCACCTTCTCCTCATCATCAGAGTTCTGCTGCCTCTCCTCATCCTCAGAGTTCTGCTGCCTCTCCTCGTCGTCTGACTGGTCACTTTTGTCCTCTTTGCCCCACTTTTCATCTTCTGAGTGTGCTTTCTCAGAACCGTCTCCCTCTGAATGATGGCTGCCTTCATCTGAACCGTGCCCTCTGTCATCGTCATCATCATCGTGAGCAGCTTCTGAAACACTGTGCTGATCCACATCGGACTGATCGTTATCTTCGTGCTCAGAATGGCCTGAAGCTTCAGAGCGATTGTAGGATCTCTCAGAGTGGTTGTCACTCCCTGAATGATGTGATGCCCCTTCATCCTCACTATCATCGCCAAAGAGCTCCTTATTACTCGGTTTTACTGCTTCCCTGTCATCATCCTGGTCGCTCTCACTTCCAGAAGCGTTGCTACCAGAGCCAGCATTCTCCTGATCGGAATCAGATTCGGATCCAGAATCAGAATCTGCAAAACAAACGCCAGCCTTTCAAAAGTTAAAATGTCCCTACAATGAGAAAAATACAAAGATATCTGTTGCTTTAAAAGAAGTAAATGGCAGAGGGCTATAAGAAACAACTGTAAAGGTTACCTAGTAACAATAAAATATTACTGATACAAACGAAGAAACGGGCAATGAAAGGGGCAGTGAGAAAGGGCAGAGTGCGCATAACGCTTCAAATCACAATGTGTCACGTAGGCTTATAGGCTCCTGGAAAGGATATGCAACTACACAGAAGACAACAAAGTTTGAGATGGCAAGAACCTACATAAACAGAGTGTTTGTGGAGCTGTGCAGATTCAGAACTGCCATCGTCCCCGACGGCGGCCTCAAACCCCCTGTTACAGGGGAGCTGCTCCCCAACTGCGGGGCTCCTGGGGCACCGCTGGAAGCACGAAAGAAAAACTCTGCCTGGGAAAGTAATTTAGGAACATTGCGCGTAGGGCTTTAAAATTGAGCAAATGACTTTATATGTATACATATATATATAAATTGTCCCCAGGGGCGCGCGCCACC